ACTGATTTACTAGCATCTTGTTTTGAAGTCGTACCATGCTTTTCTTTTTTTTTTTTTTTCTGTTTTGATTGCTATCCTGTCATGTTTTGATTTTATTTGTGATGATATAAACAAATTTTTGAGAAAAATGAAGCATTATAGTTCATTTCCTGTTATTTGGTTTTGAAGTAATGTAATGCTTTCATTGCTATGAGTGGTTTTATAATATTTTGTTATGTTTGGTGTTGTTACGTGTGAAGGTATGCTCAACTATGTCAAAGAAAAGAGACATTAAGGTAGCTACTGTTGATGCCTGCTTGTCTTGTTGTGAAGTGCTGTGCTGCTTGCATTATTCTACTCTGATCTGTTTTGTTCTCTTTTGTTTTATTCTCTTCCAACTTAAAAAAACATTTAAAAATTATATTCATCATTATAAATCAGTACACTTTGTTGGTGTTTGTATTTGAAAATCAAATGGGCATATTTAGAGAGGAATGTCACTGTGGAACAAGCATAAGAGCAGTGAAATGCTGCTCACTCTGGAGATTTAGAAAAAGGCCAGCAATCAAGGAATGAAAGGAGCTCAAGGTACAGGAAGGCTAGAAAGAGATTCTGTCCTACAGCTTACAAATGCAAAGCAGCTGACAATCTGCTGATTTCAGAACTGGATTCTGGAGATTGATTTTAACCGATGCAACTATAAAGTAATTAATTTCTCATGCAGTGCTTTAGTTTCTAAATTATGATAAAACAATACAAAAGTGGTGAAAATACCTTGACTGAATATTCCTCCAATAAAGTGTCTAGAACAGGAACCCCTTTATCTTCTGCTCAGCCCTGCAGACTTCCTCATGCATCAGTGAAGACGCAGTCTGTCAGTCAGCTGGAGGAAGTATTCAAGTCATGGGCCACATGGGGAGTAAGCAGTTGGGGAGACACTGAAAGGGAGTTTATGTTCAAGGCTGAATCACTATGGGAGGAAATTCATAACTGCTGACAGTAGTAAGTTGCAACATCTTCAGCCTGCATGCTGCTAATGGTGAGAATGAAATGGGAGTGAGACACACTGCCACTGAACCAGTCTGGATCCCAGATTCCCTGTTGGATGCCTCTTAGAGGAACAGTTTGGGAGATTGTCCTGGTGCCTTCTGGTACCAGGATAAGTAATTGTAACCATAATAAAGAAGACTCTGGCTGACATTACAGTTGATGGTGGTTCTCTCTCCTGCAGACACTGCAAGGAAGGCTGTAGACTAGGTCATCACAATGTCACTGCAGACATCTGCAATCAGTAATGAATAGTGATCATATATACATAAACATACAAGATTTATCTCATATAAATAAATCAATTTAACATTTAAAATATTCTCTTGAACAGAATTATGAATTAGCATGTATTTGTATTATTAGAAATAGTCATCCTTTTCCACTGCTTCTTAAAATTATTTTCAACTACACAAAGATGTCATGGTTAGCAGATGGTAGAAATTTACTATTTCTCTCCAGAGACCCAAAGCACCAGACCCAGGAGGATTTGGGTCTGGGACAACATCTTGTTGTCCAGTCTGGTGCAATGTTGGTAAGAAATCATCTCAAATATATATAAAATCTGTTCAGCTCAACAAGCTCAACTGAGTTAGAGACCTATGCAAAAAAAAAAAAAATCAGCAAATAAGGAAGCAAATTGCAGGGGTCTTGGGCTGTGAACACAATTGGTTAAATTAAGATCCAAAAATGCTACTGCAGAACAAGTGTTTGAGAGATCAGAAAGAATGCAGAATTGAGAAGCTCTAGTATTGTAAAACCATTGATGCCATCACAAAAGGCCTTAGTTTTAAATCAGAAAAATACATTTAAATGGATTGTTTTACAAAAATTACAGGCTTGCTGCCTTGTATTAACAGCACTTTTGAAACCCTAAAACACACTAGAAAATCAAAGACAAAAAAGACAAGAAGGAGATGGATGAATCATTGGAGAACTAAGGGAGAAAAGAGATGAAGAAAAGACAGGTAAACACAAAAAGATGATAACATTTAGGGACTATTTTTCCACTTTGCTTGTAAAAGTATCTCTGAAATCCAAAGCCATATACATTCTGAAGCTACTGCAGAACACAGGAATCACTTGTGATCCAGTTTCCAGCCTATGTGTGAGTGGACATCTATAAGACAGGCTGAGAATTCATTCTTGATTCCTGGACCTTAACATAACCTCAAGATCAGAATTGTGAGCCAAAGATAAATTGCAACTTGTCCTTGACAGAACTAGGAACTAAAAATAAGGCTCCAAGCAAGTTGAGAAATGGAGAGAGAAAAACACAAGATCTATTTGGAAAATAATGAGTACAGACTAACACCACCAATGATATTTTCTCCCAGAATACATGGTTTAGGATTTATTTGCTTTGAAATCAATGTAAGATAGCCTTTACAGATGAGGTGTCCAAGGGAAAATATCTCTCATGAAGGGCAAGACCACAGAAAATTCTCAAGAAACTTACATTGTCTTTTCTTTCATTTTTTAATTTAAAAACAAGGATAAAAGTGATACATAATTTTAAAATATAGTACAAAACTAACACCAGTTAATACATTTCACATTATTATTTTAAAGGAAGTTCTTCAGACATTAAGATTTTTGTCATAAAAATGATCAAGCAATTAAACAATGAAAAAGGAAACTGTTGTATCTGATGAACTTACACAGATTAGAAGTATATTTGTCTATCTTATATATGTATATATATATATATACACACACACACTTATATACACACACACAGATATATATATATATATATATATATATATATATATATATACACACACACACACACACACTTTTGTGTATGTAGAACTACTATGATTGTTTGTGTCTGGGTGTCCTTCCAAAGCCTCATGAAGTTAAGGAGGCAGCAAAGCCTAGCATTTGTGATTGTGCATTCTGTAGCTCTGAGCTTAGCACTGTGATAGTTGCACCCAATCAGAGCCATGTAACTAGAATACAGTAAAAGGAAGAGAAGGAAGAGGTGTTTTCTATTTCCTGCAATTTTGTTCTTGCTCTTTGTGGGCACCATGAACAGTTGACACTCAGCCACAACTCTGAGCCTTGGAGCCAGCTGAGTATGGACTGAATCCTCCAAAAGCTGAAAGCTACATAAACCTTTCCTTCCCTAGTTTTGAGAGTCCGTATTTTGTTCCAGCAACAAGAGAAAAGTAACCAAGATGCCCCATAACACATAAAGTCTTTTCTTTTCTTCTTTCCGTATCCCAGTTGCTCTTTGTTTTTGAGCATTTTGTTTTCCTTCAAAAGATGGCTATAATCAAGAAATCAGTCAATAACAAATACTGGCAGGGCTGTGGGGAAAAGGAATACTTTTCCCATTTTTCCCCATTTTTAGGAGTGCAGACTGATGCAAATTATATTTCAAGGGCCAGGGCATCCCAACACCACAGATTTCCGATGTTCTATAACCAAAAAAAAATTAAGTATGAATAAAATATAATAGAAATAACAAAGAGCAAAACTTCTGTCCAGACCTACTCAATAATTTAAATATGTATTTAACAAACAATATATAGCACACATATTGCATGCAAAGCACAGGATACTAAAAAGGTTAAGAAAACATTAATGTTTGGATGCAATTAGCATCTCAAGGCTACATGTTAAACACATATTGTTAAACTGATTTCAAAAAAACCAAAGCTATTATTGACAACCAAAAACATATTTTAATTTTTCCATTTAATCTTTGCCTTGACTATTTATGTTCTTCAGTAGATCACTTTCTGCAATATATTTTTGGGTGCATAAAATATTAACCTCATAATTCAACTCAATTTTCACTATGGACTCCTCAGATACTATACTATAATATGAAAGAGGAAAAATAGCATATGATTTAAGGAAGTTTCTCAGATTCAAGGACAAATTTATGAAAGATGAGTACATCTGCTTAAATTTAATCTTAACAAGTTACTGTTTTGTTCACATTGTAGCCTAAATTTTCTATCTTTATTGCTGCTTTTATGAGTATCAATTTCATTTCATTTATTAGCAGTTACTCAAAGTAAGCAGATGTGGAATAAGGATTTCAACATCTAAAAAATCATGTAAACATGACCGCTTCTTTATTTAGACCATGAAGACTCACAAAATTAAAAAATCGACATTTTATTATGCTTTTAATCATAATTAAGGAAAATGTGACAGATTACCACTTACTTTTTCTTCCATAAATCAGGTTGCCACAGTGTATACTGTGTGTTGATTCCCTGAGCAATCATAGAAAATGTTGATAAAAATCTGAACTACAAAAAACACAGGCATATCTTCTCCTAGCACTGTGGCCCTGAGGTCTACAGTGAAACTCCCTGAGCAGATCTGAACCAATATTCTTTCCTTAATACCCACCTTGGATAGAGACCCCGGAAAATGGCAGTCATACACAAACGTTGACCTGAAATGTTAAACACTTGACTTATTCAGGCTCTGGTAAACTATGGAATCTCCATTGTCTCTGTGAACTCAGGACTCTTATTGCCCAATATCAATTAAAATAATGTGTATATAGAAAAAGAATTTTTCTATGTTTTTCAGGAAAATAAAGTGAATGTAACACTATCGTTAGCACTTTTGTGCAATGAACTCCAGGAAATTGTTCACGTCAAAGTATTTTGATGAATCTGATAAGGAGAGAGAGTGAGACATATGACAGGATACTTACCAGTTGACAAAACTAATTGCTAGAAATTTCATGTGCTCTTACCTAAGGAGTAATTCTTGGGGGATGAAAAAAACAAAACTTCTGCCCCTGCCAACCCCCTTTCACTTCAGTGTTTATTCACAAGTTCCAGTTAAAGAGTACACCCAGCATGTATCTAACAGGCTTCTACTGCACTTGGTAACGGGAGTACCAGAAACTGTTTGCTAGTTCCATACCATAATATTAACCATATAAGGCTCAGAAGATCAATACTTGTGAGATAACAGCTGTTTCTTTTTTTTCCTAGGAAGGGAAAAATCCAAATAGTGTGAGCTCTCCGCTCACACAGACTGACCTGCAAATACAACACATGGACTGGTATCTGGAATCACCTTTAGGGGCCAGGCAGAGTGCGCTGTATCTCCCATTTCCACAGTGAGTGCCTTCTGCCTGCTGCTATAGAAAATGTGGGCATTTTTCTTATTGTCTGCTCTAGCATGCAGAATGCTGGACCTCACTCAGCTCACATAAGAGGCCTCCGACCCATCTCTTACCTCTTTTCACTCATTAGGGCATTTGCATAGTGTCTGGGCGGGGGGGGGGGGTCCTCCCTTGTCAGTTTGAAACAATGACTGACCACTTACTTTGCTTGACTGATCAGGATGCTTCAGTTTAACTTCTCAAAGTGAGGCTCTTTGCTCGGCTCCTGGGCTGCTAACACTGTGGACATCTGATAAGAACAGGGACAGATGAAGGAGAAGAATAAGAAGAGGAAGAAGAGGAAGAAGAGGAAGAATAAGAAGAAGCAGAAGCAGAAGCAGAAGCAGAAGCAGAAGAAGAAGAAGAAGAAGAAGAAGAAGAAGAAGAAGAAGAGGAAGAAGAGATGGGGAATTCTGGGGATTTTCCATTGCTCGTGTCTATTCCATCCACATGTGAGGGCTACAGATGTTCTCCAGGGTAGGCGTGTGATATTTAGATCAGTGAGTACAAGGGAGATGCCAGAAAGAGGAAGGCTTGGCATCTAGTGAAGCATTCACTTCAAATTTGGGGACTTTTATCTACAAATATTCTAGAGGGCCCTTTCTGGTTAAAAAGCTGTCACCAACATCAACACTGAATATTTTCCCTTTATATTTTAAAATAAAAATAAATTGAGTTTGAAACGTGCAAAAGCAAAAATTTTTGGATACACTAGGAATAGTGAGATTACCCAAAAAATAGGATCCCAGTCCGTCACCATTGGAGATTGGACATCCATGCTCTGCAGGTCGAGTCTGAGCCTTGTACGCAGTAATGAAAGCATCTATTCATGCCTTGCACAGGAGCCAAGGAACCCTCCACATGCATGATTTATAAGAATATTTAACTTTAGGGATTCGGATAGATTCAGTTGTAGTAGATAAGGAACAGATTTCACATGCAGTATCAGCCTGGGGAAGCTGAGGATGCTGGAGTTTATTACTATATGCAAAGGGCCATACCACGGCCCTTTGTGCTATTTTTCTGGAAGCAGCATAGACAGTTGTCTGAGGCTTTGTAAGAGAAAGAGGCAGTTACTAGGAATGGATAAAACAGTCCAGCAAATGATCTATAAAAATTATTTCCTGTCAATCCACAAAACCATTGATTTCTTGACCAAATTGAAAGCTAGCAAGAAGGAGCAAAGGGATTGAGAAAAGTCATCGCAATGCACACAAGGGTGGAATTAACAACTCCAGCCTGACCACAGGGGACCAGTGAGGTTGTCAGCCAAATAGGAGAGCCTACACAGAATCTCTGCTGGGAAACAGGGATTTAGTGGGGCAAATAGTGGTGACCTGCCTGAGTTCTCAGGTCATCAAAGGCTCTCTCCAGCCTTGGTAGGTTTTACGTGTGTGTATGTGTGTGTGTTTCTGTGTCTCCGTGTGTCTGTTTTTCGTCTATATTTTGGAGTTTTTTATTGGTTGAATGCCAATGTTTGTATAGTTGATTGTAGTTCTACATATGTGTACAAATGTTTAAATGTTGCTTCTGAAGCATTCTATGGGGTAACTCATCTGTGCCTCCTTCACAGGGTATTCTGGATTTTACCTTGTGCTGCTTGATTTTTTGGTTCAGTGGTTGGACTCTCTCTCCATCTCTTTTCTCACCTCCCACCTGCCTTACTTGAATTATATTCCCCCTTATCCCTTCTTCTGTCTGACAGCTCTTCCATCTAATTAATAAGTCTAATTAATACTTATATTTGCCTCACACTTTCTAACCTATTCCTCTGCTTTATACGAAGTAGTATACACAGTAGGAGTAATTTAAGTTTTATAGTATTATAACATAACACATTTAGACCTTCCACATCAAGAATTATTTTTTGTGCTGCTAAAATAGTGTATCTTGGGTCACCAGTTGTGTTGCATTTCCCAGTTTATTCCTTCTGAATTCATTGGATCTCACCCCCATTCTCTTATCTCCCTGCCCCCCCCCCCCGCCCCAACGCGCTCTACACAACTCACTCTGGCACAATCTCGCTCTACCGTTGCCCTCTCCATTCTTTTTTGAATGTGGAAGCTATTATTAAAACTTAATATTCCTGTTTTTTTTTTTCTGTTTTACTGTGTATGAGGGTTTATTACAAAACTGTAAATGAGATTTAAAGGTTGTTTCCTACAATGTTTTACATTTTTCTGTAAAGTTCTCCTCCAAAAAAATGTTGTTATGTTGTCTTTTAATGTATTTCTTCTATTTTATAAATTGGGTAGTAAGACTACATAAAGATTGCACTAAATTTCTACCTATAAATCACTCTTTTTCTGCTTTTCTTTCTACTCTCACACATATTCTGTCCAACTCCCTCCCTCTATCCAGCTATTTTTGTGTGTAAATATATCAAAAAATGATTTCTTTATTCTCATGCATTTTCTTTCTTTGTAGTCTCCTGTTTTTCTCAATTTTTCTGCTATTATTTACTTTTAAATCCTTCTTTATTTTGTATCGTAGAGTTTTCTTTCTGTCCTTTTTAAGATTTTTGCATTCTTGCTTTACTGAAAAATAAGAAAGCTTGCTAAACTAGCTCTAGATTACATAGTTACATATGACTGGTTCTTTGTAGGCAGATATTAACAGTACCTATCTTCTGCTTGTGTTTCAGTGCTATGAGTCCCTAGCAGCCGGTCTTTCTAGCCCAACCAACCTACAGCACTCCACATAAAAGCACAGGAATAGTGAGAAATAAATCAATAATTAGCCAAATCTTTTATAAATCCCAAACAGCTCAGATCCAAGAAGTGAAGCAAGTGTTCAGTAAAGAACTCAAAAGTCAAAAGACAAAATGTTTGAAGAGATCGGGAAGAAAGTGCATAGCATATTCATCACTAGGGATGTAAGTAAGTACAGGAATAATTTTAGCTAATAAAATGCTCAATATGCTTAAATAAAACACGAACAGTTCACTGAATTTACATGCAAGTTATGAATGAATGTCCTAGGAAAAAGTTTCTGGTTACATGACAGAACCAAACAGAACTCCTGGAAATGAAAAGTACAATGGAAAGCTATGACCAATCAGGAGACACAATATTAAACCTTTAGGACAAGAATGATGTAGCAGGTGACACAGTGATACTCCCTGAAACAAATCATGAGAAGTTGATTTGAGACCTCATAGAGATTCTACAAAAACTAACCTAAGCATTCCAGAGAAAATGAAGGGTGTGAAAATAAAGAATAATTTATTTGAGAAAATATTTAAATCTAGACTCTGAAACAGAGATATAGATAATGAGGCATTTAAAACTTCCAATAGATATGACCAGAAAAGAATCTCTCTACATATTATAGAAAAATTCCATAAAATCAGAACAAAGAAATAATGCTAAAAGTTATGACAGACATATTAAGTAATTTATAAAGACAACCCTATCAGAGTAACAGCAGTTTTAGACCAAAAGATATTGGAGAAGTATATCAAGTTAAAATAAAATTTTTTAAAAAACCCTTTAATTGTATTATAATATTCTACAAAAACATCTTCAGAAATTTAGAGACAAATAAAGAATATATATGACAAAAAATCTTTAAGTAGTTCTGCAACAGTGAGAAGTTACACAAAATGAAGGAATAGAGAAATGAACAAAAGAAAAATAATGCAATGACAGAAACTACTCAATGTCTTTCAATAATAGCTCACAGTGGAAATGCCTTTAAGAATACTAGTTTCTGATTCACCGACCACAAAACTGAAAATCATAAACATGCAATAATTAATTCAGCCAGATGTGGTGGTGCGGGCTTATAATCCTATCACTTGGAAGGCTAAAGCAGGAGGATCCCTGAAACCCCAAGGCAAGCATGGGTTTCAAAATGAGTTCAAGGAGAGCGTGAACTGTAAAGCAAAATCATATGAAAACAAATATCAAACAGAAAACACATTAATTCAAGTATGAATGAAAACAGTGGAAATCACACAGAACAAAAATCTCTAACCAGAGTTCACATTTGGGAGTTGGAAAAACATATTGAAGAAATATATTACAAACAACACTATGTAGAAAAGTGAAAAAAAATCAGAAAAAAAAGATCATTCAACCATAAACATTGCCATCTCACTATATTTTACATGCAATGGAAATCACTCAAGTCATCTTGATTATTTAGCATCTCGACAGTAATAGTATCAACATGTGCGTTTGATTTCATTAATATGATCTCTTCATTTTTTTCAATAAATAATTTATTGCAGATTTGTATAAACCAACTCATATTTTACCTAAGATTGCTTGAATACTTAAAATAACAAGCCAAACTATAAAGGGATTCAGGGATACCATCATTTCCAAGGGCAAATATATGATAGCTGACTAAACGGGCCCAAAGTGTTTTCCATTTTGTTCTCATATCTTCACATCTTTGGGAGACTTCAGAATCTTGCTTCAGGTCTACTGCAATGGACATAAACTTATTTTTTTTATATTACTTGCTACAATGAACTCAGCTTAGACAGATGAAAAATAGACCCTTACAATTCCAAAAATGAAGGGAAAGGGAGTTAAGATATGTTATGTACATGTATCTGCTCATCACAATGAATGCAGGCATTATGAGCTGCAAACATATGCCAATAAAAACACATAAAATTTTTAAATAAACAATAAAAGTCCATAATTGCCAAGTAAGTTATCGTAGGAAATTTTCCATGTTTTTATAGCAAACATAAATACTCAAAGACAAGGTCATCCCATCCAGATGATGCAAGCCTCTAATCTTAAAATTCTGGGAAGTCAAAGCAGTAGGATAGCAAGTGCCAGCTTCAGATGCCTAATTTACTGACTTAAGGGAACTCTCACTCAAAATATATAAAAAAAAATCAATAAATTTGCCCAGTGATACAGCTTAGTCAAAAGGTCAAGTATTGAATCTCAAGTGCTAGAAAACAAAAATTAACAAAAAATTCGTTGGATCAGAAGACAAGGGGAACATATTTGGAGTATTTTGTTTATAATAAAAGCAATCATGAGAAAAAAATCATTTTCCCACAATTTTAAATGGATGAGCTGTAGTTCTTAAACTATCATATAAAAGTACCATAAACTTAAGGCTTGCAAAGAAGAAGTTCATCACTCACAGCTGTAGATCAAGGAGCCTGAAATTGATGTCTCTGACAGATCAAATAGGATCATCCTGACTGAAACCAGTCATTCCTTCAAACTATTCATAAACATTCAAAAAGACTAGAATGGTCCTGATATACTCATATATGGGGTCTTATTTTAAAGCAAGGAATGAAGCTGCAAGAAGCCTAGCACTGGAAAACTATTTATAAATAGGATTTTTAATGATCATTAGGAAAATTATGCCTCATTTATTCTGTGTAAGACTTTAGGGGAGTTGTTCTGTTAAGAATTATTTTCATTGGTTAGATGTATACGTGTGTCTTATTTCTATAAAAACATATACTGATTTATATATGGATAAATATAGTTATATACAAGAATAAATGTTTGAAAAATCATAATTACATGCATATAATTTGATATCTTTCTGCATATAAATATGACAATTATTAAGAAATTTTGAAAACATACCAAGAATTTCATATTCATGATATGAAGCAAAACTTCCAACATTTCCATTTGACTTCCAGAAAATTATAGAATATTTATCTGAAAGAAACATATAATTTCTTTCACGTTAAGTGCTTTTATAAAGCCAAGCCAGAAATCTAGAAAAAAATACAACTGTTTGTGACACACTTGTAATACTCATGCAGTTTACATGGAAACAGTGGTGGGAAGAATTTTCCCAGCTTCACCCTATGTTTCTGGGAAGAAATCCCTGAAGATCATTATTTGAAAAGTGTGGTGATTTTTTTTTTTCATACAGAGCTAGGGTGATGGCCAATTGGAGGCTGACCTGATCGTGTACACGTGTGTGTGTGCGCGCACGCATGCACACACACACACACACACACACACCTGTCCTAGGGAGTGACTGCTTGTGGAATGGAGAGGGAAGGACTGGAATACAGACTACAAAACCTATCCTTCACCAAGGTGGACAACACACAGGGAGGCTACACAGAAAGGCGTGGTTCTGGAATGTGGTGCAGCTGCTGAAACCAATTTGGGACACAATGTGTCTGCTGCCATACTGGAGCATGGTGATCTGCAGTTTTTTCCTCAAAGCAAAGTCTCTCCTGTTTGCAATTTTGAGACTGAAAAAGATGAAAGCATGTTGTTTCTTGTGATGCCTTTAGGTAATAATTTTATATTTATGTTCCTTCTCAGCAATTGAGATTTCTATGGGCTATTTCCCTATTCATTCTCAACACAAATTTGTCTAACAGCCCTCAAAGATAGCCTTGCCAACATCTCAACTTTCAAGTGTTCTGATATTTCTTCTGCCAAATTAAACAATGCTAATCTTAGTCTCAGGGGAAATCTCTGGAAATTAGGTAAATCCAGACAAAAGTTCTGCAAAGCATCCTGTGGACCTCATCAACCAACACAATT